CTAGTAGCTCCTGGCCATACTACTAGGAACAAGAAGCTACTAGGAACCAATCGAGAGCTCTGGGGCTTTTCCTGACCGGTCCTCACCGTCACCTGACAAGGCGAAGCCCGAGCCGACGGAGCCCGTCGAGGGAGAGGTGGCAAACAAGAGAGGTCATGTTGAACATGAGCGGAAGTGAGTCTGAGTGAGCAGAACATGAGAAAGAATGGGATATGATAGATGAAGTGCGGAGTTTCTTCTTGTTTGCCAGGTGACCTGAGAAATGTTTGGATTTTGACCCAGCTTCTACTTCAAACTTGCGCTTTCTCTGAAGGTAGCCAGTAGAATCATAGAGAGATGGGTCAAGCCACGAGGTGCAAGTCAAGCCTGCCACGACGAGCGAAGAGAAGAAGGAAGACGTTGAAGCTGCAAAGCCAGAGGATGAAAAGAAGGATGAGGGCCAAGCCCCATCCAAGGTTGTTGCGGATGCTCAGGAACCTGCGGAAGTTGTGGAAGAGGCCAAGGTTACAGAGACCAAGGCCAGGATGGCCGGCTCGGTGGGGTAGCCAGGGACCCCTTGAAGGTGAAGATGCAAAAGCTTCTCTCACAGGGCACGACTCTGGGAAATGAGATAGGAGTTGTGAAAGTATGGTGGGAAAAAGTAATCCTATGTCATTATGCAATAGCCTATGCGCCACAACTCCTATCTCATCAGGTCAAAACATGCAAAATTGACCCTGGCACACACAATTATGTTCACACATAAATGTTTGAGATTGCATGGTTTGAGGAGGTTTTGACATTAAACCACACATGACCTAGGAGTATTGCACCAACATAGCGTGTGGCAACTAGGAAATGAGATAGGAAAGTGTTGGTGCAAATTCCAGGGTGCCTACTTCCTATGTCATCTTGACCAAAGTTCGACAGACGCACGCACCACTTCAGAATTTAGATTTTTATCGACGGCCCCATGGCCTCATGGCAAAAAGTCCTAAATCTATTTGAGAAGAGGAACTTGGGTGGCAAGAAGCCACATGACACAGGTCAGGCGGTGGGAAACACTTAGGGAACGCGCCTAGGCCATGAAGCTTAAAGCAGTCATATTTTCCCTAATTATGGGAACGGTCTTTATACATATTTTTTGATTGAAGTCGCGTGCTGGCAGAGCGTCCACAACTCATGTCATCCTCCTGTGTACTACACTTGGCGACCTTGACGTTGTGGCCCCCAACTCCTATCTCATTAGCCCAGCAAATTCCTATGTCATCAGCCCTGAGTATATATATATATATGTATATATATATATATTATATATTGCCCTAAACAGCGTGGCTCTACGGAGTGCCTGATTGAAGTGATTTCCTTTATTACTTTAAGGTCTGTCAGGACTCCAAAGTATTTTGCAGTTGACTAGGATCATTCTGATTTTCTCATGTTGGTTCTACTGCGGTGCATCAAGATAATTTGGGAACAGAACCAGTGAGCAGGGTCTGTTTCTCAATGGGAACTTGGTTCGCGGGTGAACACGTTCGTGGCACATTTGGGTATTTCACGCTCTCGAAAGGAAACCGCCAGTGGGCAGTTGATGTCAGGTCTCATCCAGCAGCGCACTGGCCTGGGACCTTTGTTAGTCGTCAATACATCGGCCTTGAGTAATCAGTGATCAGTGACCGGCCGTGAGAAAACATGAAGAAAGGTGGGCTCGAAGCCTCTTGCATATTTGAGCACAAGATCCATCAAGATCTGTCGTAAGCCACAAAAGAGGTGGGATGCTACAATTGACTTTGACCATTCTAGCACCATTTTGGCAAGTTTTTGAGGCGTATCAGGGAATATCAACATTTTTACAACACATTCCGATGGAACACTATGCAGAGAATAGTTTTCAATGGGCACCCCATCACTGCAAAAGCAAATTGCAACGTTGAACACATCCTAGGATTTTGTTTGACTCTTCCTTATGCCCCGCTGTAGCATTTTATGGGTTGCGGTCTGTTCCCAGGCTGCACCGCTGATGCTGGGAAATGGCTGAGGCCAGGTCTTCACCGGTGTGACCAAGCGCTCCATGGAATCCTGAAAAAACACGCGTGAGAAGTCTCATTTTTCCGATGCCGCGCATATGTTTGTGTTAAATGTTTTGTGGAACTACTCTTGGTTTTCTTCACCAGAAGCAAAGCATAGCAACGCCTTTGCCTGAGGCAGATCTCTGCATGAGCCTGCATTTGCCACACATGGCAGCTAATGCCCAAGACTACCAGGAGAAAGTAGAGATGTTCATTCTGGCAATCACCGTGTGTTGAGATCAGCCAAGTCGAAGATGTTCCCGAGTTGGTCAGCACTTGTCACTTTGTCATTCTTGTATCTTGGCGCGCCTTTTGCCGAAAGCAAAGAACGTTGTTTTCAGCGTCGTGCCTGCTCAGAGAACCGAAGGTTTCTGCTGCAAGGTTTTAACAGTTGTCCAACATCCAACGTTCCGGACGTTTGCTCATACAGCAAGCAGGTTACCTCTGTTCCACGAGGAAATGAATGAGGGAAACGCAAGGTGGCAGAGTCTGCGGTCAACAGAATGTTTAACAAATGTTGCAAAAGCGCTCAACGACAGCGGCGATCACAGCTGCAATGCGGAGGGAAACACATGTTTTGGGGGCTATCATGCGAAAAACCATGGACCAAAAAGACAGCGACAGGGTGGACCATTGGAGTCAGTGCGTTGGTCAGCAGGTACAGGAGAGTGATCAGCTCTCACTTCCATCGATACACCATAGCTTCGTTGCGTCAGGTAGGTGTATCGAGCCTGACGCCCCTGCATTCAAGGTTGAAAACCAAACACCTCATTGTAAAGACCTGGGCGACCTAAAACCTGTGTTGAAAATGTATGTAGAAGTGCACGTACACACTAAGGCCGGGACCAATGTGCGCGCAAACGAAGAAAGGGATGAGATGACCAGACATGAAGGCAGGAGGACATGAAAGAAAAGAGGAAGCCAAGGTGTGTAAAAGGGGAAAAGGATGAAAAGGGGAACCAAATGGAGGGGACGAGAACCGATGAAGACGAACCTCATTAGAAACACCTAGGAAGACCTCGCCTTGTTTGCATGTAAACGCTGTGTGTGCACCTAAGAGTGGTACAGGTTCCAATGAACCTTGAACAAGCTTTGGTCGCTGCGACCACGTACGTCTTGCCCGAGGGCTGCCACCTTTGACCGCTGCGGTCACGTAAAGGCATGAGCCAACTTGGAATTCCAAACGTAAGACATAAGTCGGAGTTCTCTCGGCCTAGGCCACCTACGCCCGCTCTGGGCACGTACATCTCCGGGCAGGGGAGATAACGACAAACCCCCGTTCAACGGGTCCACAGGGGGCACTCTTCGGGCTCACCCTGGGCTCTCACGAGGAGAGAAACACTTATAGAAATGCATACGGATGCGAATGCGGTACCACACGCCAGCCTAAGAACCAAATCCTGAAAGGTTCAGGAAAGTCCCAAAAAGGCCTGGGGGTCTTCAAAAGGAAGTGGGGCCAAACGCGCAAGTCGAGGTCGAAACGACAGGGTGACGGCGTAGCGTGCAAGTCTGCCGAAAAAACCTCTAAAGCTTGATGCAGGTACGCTGGGATGATCAGTCCCAGTATCACCAAGGCTTAGAGTGTCTTCGTTGGCGGTAGACTCTCTGCCTTGCTACCACCCCCTGCTCAAAAAGGAAAACGAAGTCAAAAGTACAATCCAAACGGATCCCTGTGACTACAAGGGGCACACACACACTACACTGACTGCCTTTCCGCAACATCGTTCAGTATGAGTGTACATATATAGGCGATCTATAGTGTGTGACCTTTTTGCCTGTCAACATGCATTGCTACGTTGGCCATTGGAGACAACTGTGACGCGGTAGGTGCAGGACTGTTGCAGAGATCTAATGGCAAATGCTGTAAAAAACCGGAGCCGGTCTTTGGTGAGGGTGGTCGGCCTCCTTGAAGAAGCAAGTTCTTTCAGCACTTGAAGGGAAGTGCTTCTGCTGAGGGACAATTTTTGATGACAGGTGTCCCCATGAACGAGACTCAGTCTTCTCTCTTGGAACACGTGTAACTACCATGAGGCCTTGGCCTGAAGGGGTGATCGGGCAGCTAAGGTGGCCCAGGCATCACTTGGGGTTGAATGGTGCTGGCTGGACCACACTTTTTTCAAGCCAAAGTCCAGAGCCACTTTCCATGGCCCAAGCAGGGGAGGGGTGGCGAAGATGGAGGCCGGGCTCTCAGCACTCCCACAGGGTTGCTGACAAACAACCTTTTCTTAAAGTAAAGGCCGGTTTTGGAAAAAAAGATCCGAATTCATCACCAGGAAATTCTAGCACGTTCTGATGTGGACTTCTGCACATGCATGGAAAGAAGGTGCTCCGCATGCCGCATGCCCCTTTTTGCTGGACACTCTTTTGTTGAATTGTTCTTGTTACTAGTAGCTTTGAGATTTGTCCCGGATCGCTTTGATCGTTCTCAGGAGGAGCGCCTGACCAAGTCAGGCCCTGAACTCTTTCGAGAGCTCAAGCGGGTCTACTCTGTGGCCGAGGCGCTGGAAATGTGCGCCGTCAATATCGAGCGCCAACAGCCATCGATGGGGGTGTAGTTGATCTCAGCCATAGATGGCGGTTTGAGGGACTGGAGTCCCCTCGTGTTGACCAACCCAAAGCAGTCTGCCATTTGCCACCAAGAAGCGCCTTTAGGTTGAAGACTACTTCAAGAATGGAGCCAGGGACCTAGCCAAGTGTCTCATCCCAGATGGTAGGGAGCAATGAAGGGAGTGAGTCACGACCACAGCATCCACTAACACGACCACAGATGGCATTTAGATGCATTTAGGCCCGAGGAAAGACGATGAAAGAAGACCCTTGGGTTCTTCCCAGGCGCCAGGTCCCACTAGGTCCCACTCTGGCCCGCTGACCCATTCGAGACGATCAGCGGCCCAAGGTCTGGCGAGACGATCTGATGCGCACCGACATGCAGCTGATCGAGTTGCACCGTCGAGAGGCAGCGGGCTTTTTTCCCACGCACGACCGATTGGGGCGGTATGGGGCGGTTTCTCATGGCATGTCGGGCGCGCTTTGTGTCGGCGGAAGAAGAACTCCCAAATACTTTCTTTTGTTAGTAGTAGCTTCTGGTTTCTGGTAGTAATGCCCTTGTTACAGCAACAAGTTGTTACTAGTAGCGATGCACTTGTTACTAGTATAGCTTCTTGTTTCTAATGCATTTGGGAGTTCTTCTTCCAGAAGCAAGCTCATGGGGAAAACAGGTTTGACACTCATCGGCGGAAGAGGCTGAATACAAGAGTTAAATAGTATTAACTTGTTGTGTCCACCAGAGGTGGCTTTATTCTAGAACTCAACAAACTTGAAAAACAATCAAAAAAGACAAAACACAAAGAAAGCAAAAACACAACCAAAAGTGCAACCAAAAAGGCACAAGCAAAACAAAGAGCAACCAAAAAAGCACAACGAAAGCGCAAATGCAACCAAAAAAGCACAAGCAAAACACAGAGGGTAGATTGGAGGGGCCGGGCAGGGTTAGTACTGGACAAGGGTCTTTTCTGCTGCCGGGTCAAGTGTCGCACTTTTGGTCGCCTTTTTTCTGGTGCCGGGTCAAATGCGGACTTTCGGTTGCCTTTATTTTATTTTTTCCGGCGCCGGGTCAGAAGTCCCACTTTCGGTCGCTCTTTTTTTTCACGTTTTTTTTTTTTTTTTTAAATTTTCCGGCGCCGGGTAAAAAGGCGCACTTTTGGTCGCTTTCTTTTTCGTTTCTTTTTTCCGCTTATTTTTGCACTTTGCAAAAAACAAGCGAAAAAAGAGCAAAAAAACAAACAACGAAACAAACACGACCAAAAGTGCGACTTTTTACCCGGCGCCGAAAAAAAAGTAATAAAAGCGACCAAAAGTGCACCAGAAAGTGGACCCTCCCTCAAAAGCGCGCCAGAATGCGCGCCAGAATGCGCGCCAGAACGTGGACACTTCCAAAAAGTGCGCCAGAAAGCCCGGCTGAGTTGTTTCATTTTTGCTTGCAATTTTGTTTGTTTTTTTGCTTTTATGATTGCTTGTGTTTTTCTGGCTGCAATTTGTGATTGCTTTTTTGTTTTTTGCTATTTTTTTCCTTTTGTGATTGCTTTTGTTTTTCTGGTTGCATTTTGTGATTGTTTTTTTTTTGTGTGTGTTGTTTTTGCTTAGTTTTTTTCAAGATGATAAACTTCTAGAATAAAGGGGTCTGGCAGACACAATGTTAATGCTTTAGCTTTTACACCTGTTCAACCTGTAACTCTAGAAGCATTATCTCTGGAGTCAATTCTGTCAACTTTGCCACTTGTGTCTCCTTGTTGCCTTCTTTTTGTCCATCTGAGTCTATCTCTTTCTTTTCCTTTGTTTTCTTTTCATTTTTAGCTGTATTGAATTCTAGGCAAGTGACAAAGGATTAGGAAGATAAGAAGGTGGGACAAACTAGCCACCAAAAAAGACTCTTGAGTTAATTATTTTTTCACTGTGTCTCCTTCCGTCCTTCTGTTTGTCTGTATATTTCTTTTCTTGTTTTTTCTTCACCTTTAGCTGTATTGAATTCTAGGCAGGTGACCGAGGATTAGGCAGATAAGAAGGTGGGACAAACTAGCCACCAAAAAGGAATTGACTCTGGAGTTAATTCTTTTTCACTGTGTCCCTTTAGCTGTATTGAATTCTAGGCAGGTGACAGAGGATTAGGAAGATAAGAAGGTGGGACACACTAGCCACCGAAAAGGAATTAACTCTGGACTTAATTCCTTTTCAAGGAATTAACACCAGAGTTAAGACATTTTAACTCTGGTTCACTCCATTTCTCAGCGCTGCACGATGTCACATGCTTTGACGGTTGCCGAAATAATCCAAAACACAACAAAGAATATGTGCTCAAGACGCCACACTTACACCTGATGCTGAAGCAGGTTCCCACCTCGCCAGTATTTGTAAGAGGTCAATCTTCTCTGTAGAACCTCGTGAATGCAATAAGCTGTGAATTGGGAGGCTGGTGCCCCCCGAGCCGCCTGACTTATCCAAGGCCCGGTCACGACAGATGGTGAGAGTTTTTGGCTGCTGACATGAGGGACACTCTGTGAAGATCTTGAAAGAATGTTTCCACGACTGACACCACGCCATGTTGCATCATTCAAAACCATAGTGACATACCTGTCTTGAAGATAAGATACCAGTTTCTTTTTTGACGCTTTTGCATACGCACCCAATAGAAGCTGTATCCTGTATCCATCCATAGCATGGGTGCGGGTCTTTTGTTGCATTTTGTGGCTAGATAGTTCAGGTGGAGGTGCCACATCTTCCACAGGGAGTTGGGGAGCCAAGTGCATGCTTCCCGACATTTCCTGCGGATGTTCCTCATTCACCTGGACGTTCCATGTGAATGAGGGACATCCTCCTTTTCCTTTGCCCAAAAGGCGTGCGCATTGCGATCACCGTCGTTTAGCATTTGAGGCTGTTGCCAGCCCTCTAGCCGTGCCGAGCTTGGCTTTGGTTCCCCATGCGGTTTGAACAAACCACCCAACCGCATCGGTTTTGCGCGTTTGCTTTTGCGATGGTGACCTAGAAATGGAGTTGTATTGCCCAAGGAGGTGGTCACTGTATGACACGGTCAATCTTTACACATCTTTTCATTAACGAAAAATACAAAGCACTTCCATAATATCATAGAATGTGAACGAGCCCCCCAGTTCCTCCATGACAATGAAGGCCCTGGGTCCGAGGATTTCAATATCACTCCTCTGATTTGTCGGATAGGTTTGGAATGGCCTTTACCTATACTTGACCCCAAATTGGACGGCTTGCAAGGCATCCATGGCAGCTGCTGGTGGCCTAGGCCATTCCGAAGCTCGTGCAATTGCCTGCAAAAAGATACCAAGTAGGCACACTTGCTTACTCTTGATGGGCGCCTGCATTCTGACGCAGTTTTGCAAGACTTGTGTTCTGAGACTCGATATACTTGACAAAGAACATTCTATATACATTGTTACAAGTCACTTGTTCAAGGATGGACATGATTCTACTGCGAACAAGCAAGTCAATCTACCGCTCGATCAAGGGCTCAACTGACTTGCCAGTTCCCTTCCTTCGCTGCACCGAAGCCCTGGCCGCCTTTGGCCTGGGTATTTGCTGCATGTTACTACGGGGCCACGGTGCAAAAATGGGTTCCACACGCCAACCTCTTCAGTCTTTGAAGCAAGTCGGCGTTCTTTTGGCACTTGAAGATGGCGTAGCAAAGCGTCGCCAAGAAAGCGGCAGCCTGGCGCAGGCGCCACTGTCGCAGATCTTAGGCTCATCGCACTGTTTGTGTGGACCTCGGATGTTGGCAGCAAAATGGTCATATTTTCTTCGACATCCTTGACGGAAGAAACTTGTTTTGCCATACATTTTCCATGTGGTCGAGAGACCAAAGCAGAAACACCCTAGGTAGCCAAGTGGAAACTGGACGTGAGCCTCACCAAGAAAGCACTGACTAAGCTGCTGCCAGCGAGGCCTCGGGTCGTGTGTCATCAGCCCGAGAAAGTCTTCATAAATGTGATTGTATACATGTTGGGGCTAAGGCAGTCCCATTGTTGTACTGAGCTGGGACTTTCATTTGTGCTTCGGTGGTGTCTTCTTTTCCTCTTTTCAAGACACGCATTTGGGGACTGCAGCCAGCACATTGCAGGCGGCGCTACGTCATCTCTAACTTTAAATCCAAGGCCCACTGCGCAAAGATTTCTGGATTCTAGATGCAATCAATGCTTGTGTCACTTCCAAACCTACAGGATTGTGGTCTGTCTGGGCTAATTGGGGCCACACATCCATATTGAACCAATTAGGAACATCTAGGAACTGTCCTCGTGGGCTGACAACAAGCACAACATTTACTGGGAGTCACTCTTGAGTTCACAGTCAAGGTCCTGATCACAGTTCTCAATGGAGCTGGGACTCACTCCGGAAGTTTAAACTTTTCGCTCAGCCAATTCTCCTCTGCCGACTGTGGCTAATGAGCTGGTGGGACTTGCTCTTTTTGCGTTTTCTTTTATACTGCGAGTGCAGTTCTACCAGCCGAACTGCGCAGGGTGGATCAGATGTGAATGCGGAGCTAGAGCAGTGCCATCAGACGGGGTGCATTTTTAGCCCGATACTTCAGTATGAGTCAGGGAAGAAACTCAAGAATTTAATGATTTAGACGATAAACACCCACTTCCAATTGTGATGTCATCATGATGTGCCATGAGCTTTGAAGCCTCGGGCTTACACGTTCATTTGCAATTCTATATAAACTGATTCTAAACCAGATACCTACTGACACCAGCACATTGCTGTTCACACTGCGCGTTGCCTACGTCGCAATTGATTCAAATCTCATGTTGGTCGAGACGGCTAGAGCCCCAGGTACATTGAAGAGTGTAACTCAACCAATGCATGGCCGGCAACCACGGTGCGGCGGGTGGGTGGAGCTTGAGAGATTCTAAAGACATGTTAGCCAAAGAGCCCTTGGCCCAGAACACCCTTTCTCACTGACTGCAGTGGGATGAAAGAGCGGGTGCCAGGGTGAATCACAGGATTAAATCTCGCCACATCAGGCAGGACTGAGGTTTTTGATCGATGGCAGGAGAGGCTGTGGAAAGGTTCTTCTTCAGAAACCAACGGGTGGTTTGCGTTCGGCGGTAGCTGTACCATGCAAGTGCTAGGCTGTGACGCTACTGGTACCGCACTTCAAGCGTGCTCCAGTTCCCAGCAAGTCCCCATCCTTGCATGGCTCTGGGGGTTGCATCATGCTTTCATGCTTTCAACGTATCCACATGCTGAGATAGTTTTGTTTTTCTTTTCCCCAGTTCACTTGCATGTTGGGCACCAGAAACAGGCCACAGCGGCCACAACAGCCACAGCGGCCACAGCCATCCCGAAGCTGTCAACGCCGTTTGCCAATGGGGCAGTTGCTGGGCAAAAACTGCTTGGCCATGCGGGTTTGTGCGGAAAGCTTGTGAAGACGTGCAAGCTTGAATCTCACAGCCATATTTACAACCAACCTTTTCCCGAGAGCGCCTGCGAAGGGTTCTTCGTAAAAAAAACATCTGCAGAACTACGTCTCATCTACATCTTCACATCTTCACCTCTGCACATCCACATTCTCACCTATATCTCGGCTCATCTTCACATCTACATTCACTACTGCACATCTACATCTCTGCACATCTTCACATCCTCACATCGACATCTCTGCTCATCTTCATCTTCACACATCTACATCTCTGCTCATGTTCACATCTGCACGTCTATATAGATCTCTGCTCATCTTCACATCCTCACATCTACATCTCACATCTTTACCTCTCATCTACATCTCACATCTTCACCTCTCGCTCTTCTTAACTTTCTCTCTTAAGGCCGAGGGCAGTGCCGCCGGGCCGCCACGAAACGCACCCTCTGCGGAGATCGTGCGTGTCGAGTGCGCGAAATGCAGGCGAGAGTGCGATTTGGTTTTGTCCGGCGCAACCCTCTGCGGAGATCGTGCGTGTCGAGTGCGCGAAATGCAGGCGAGAGTGCGATTTGTCCGGGTCGCGGGCAACCCTCTGCGGAGATCGTGCGTGTCGAGTGCGCGAAGTGCAGGCGAGAGTGCGATTTGTGGTTGTCGCGGGCAACCCTCTGCGGAGATCGTGCGTGTCGAGTGTGCGAAGTGCAGGCGAGAGTGCGATTTGTGTCTGTCCGGTGCAACCCTCTGCGGAGACCGTGCACTTTGTAGTACAACTTTAGTGCGCGGAGCAATCTGTGGAGCTGGAAGCTGAGAACTGGCGACTTTGTAGTGCAACTTTAGTGCGCGGAGATCACTGCCCCCTTAGCGTGCCTGACCCCCCCCAGGGGGGGTCAAAATTGTAAATTACAGTTTTTGACTTTACAACAATAGCCTTATATAGCCCTATAGGGGGGGGGTGAAAATTGTAAGGTCTAGGGTTGAGGTAGCCTATGTGAGGATGTTACTTTTTTTGACCCCCCCCTGAAAGAGGTCTTGGCCTACTTCTGGAGACTTTGAAAGGAGGGGGGGGGGGAATTGTAAGAATCTATGAGTGGGTACCACACAAAGCAAATTACAATTTCCCCCCCCCCCGCGGTCGACGTTGTACGAGTGCTACATTTATTGAGATCATCAAGGGGATGGCATGGCATGACGGCAAGGCCTTTCGGATGAGCATCTTCAGCGTCAAAAATGTAACTTACATTTTTGACCCCTTGTCTTGTGAGATGGAGGTGAATCCAGCTGTGTGTTCAATTTTCACCGTTTTCCAAAACCCGCATTTTGACACACCCGAAATTGTAAGTTACATTTTTGACCCCCCCCGGGGGTAAGGGGGTAGTGATGCGCGGAGTATCTGGCGAGCTGGAAGATGAGAACTGGCGACTTTGTAGTACACCTTTAGTGCGCGGAGCAATCTGTGGAGCTGGAAGCTGAGAACTGGCGACTTTGTAGTGCAACTTGAGTACGCGGAGTATCTGGGGAGCTGGAAGCAAAACAGAGGATGTGCGACGAAGATCCAGGGTACGCACCTGCTGACCTTTCAGGGCATGTCCCAGATCACGTAGCAGTCGTTCGATGCCTCTTACAACACAAAGAGACCTTATTGATAGGAACGACATGATTTATTTGATTGTTGATAATCGTCATCCTGCCGAGGTTGCGCATTGGCCTGCTTTTGCACGGTGGTGGGCCTCCCGACGTCAGCTAGTTGGGCCCCAGGGGGAAAACACGGACATTCTGTGGATTCGAGCTGAGCAAAGCAATGGCCTGCGTAATGTCCCCTATTACTGGGCAGGTGTTTTCGTGCCAGATTCCTCTTCCCCCAGAGCATTTCGGGCTTATCGACAATGATTGTGTTCCTGTTACGCTTGTTGAAATTCAAGACCTCATCTCTCTTGCAGAAAGTCAACATCAATGGATCGACCTGGTGGGGCACCCGCGGGAAGAGGACAGGAGCGATGCCAAGGTAGGAATGATTCTCTTTACAGAGGCACACCTTGAGTACAATGCCGGCCTTGTCATATCAATCGGGAGTGCGAGTAGACCCAGTCCAATAACTTTAGTACGCGGAGTATCTGGGGAGCTGGAAGATGAGAACTGGCGACTTTCTGGTACAACTTTAGTACGCGGAGTATCTGGGGAGCTGGAAGATGAGAACTGGCGACTTGTAGTACAACTTTAGTAGGCGGAGCAAGCTGTGGACCTGGAAGCTGAGAACAGGCGACTTTGCAGTACAACTTGAGTACGCGGAGTATCTGGGGAGCTGGAAGCTGAGAACTGGCGACTTTGTAGTACAACTTCAGTACGCGGAGTATCTGGGGAGCTGGAAGATGAGAACTGGCGACTTTGTAGTGCAACTTTAGTACGCGGAGTATCTGGGGAGCTGGAAGATGAGAACTGGCGACTCTGTAGTACAACTCTAGTACGCAGAGCAAGCTGTGCACCTGGAAGCTGAGAACGGCGACTTTGTAGTACAACTTTAGTATGGGGAGTATCTGGGGAGCTGGTACGCGGAGTATCTGGGGAGCTGGAAGATGAGAACTGGCGACTTTGTAGTACAACTTTAGTACGCGGAGTATCTGGGGAGCTGGAAGCTGAGAACTGGCGACTTTGTAGTACAACTCTAGTACGCGGATGAGTCATCTCTCGCGGCTGAGTCATCTCTCGCGGCTGCTCTGGCGCCCCTGCGGCTGAGTCATGTCTCCCGACCACCCGGCTAGAGGTTGACAAATTGTAGCTACTTTTCTTACTCAGAAGTGGCTGCCACAAAAGAGCCAACGTGACGTTAGTATGTGTGTACTTCACCTTCATGACAAACGATGTTCGCTTGGAATACACGAGTCGCTTGTCATGATCGTGACGTCGTTTACTCTTCGTGGAAATTTCAGTGTGAAATGTACGTTCTTCAGTTCTATTTGAACCTCTTCAGCGTTGTACTTGCACAACTAAGGTTGACGTTGCGCTGCCGTTGCATCGACGCATCTACGTTTACACCCCCTCACCTCTCTACATTTACATCTTCACACGCTCACATCCGCAGATCTACCTCACCACATCCACACATCTGCACATCTATATCACATCTGTACATCCACACTGTCGCTCCTTCACATCTGTCCTGTCTTTCTTTCTTTCTTTCTTTCTTTCTTTCTTTCTTTCTTTCTTTCTTTCTTTCTTTCTTATCTTTCTTATCTTTTATCTCGTCTCTGTGCATTTACATCTTCGCACGCTCACATCCACAGATCGACTCTCCACCTCCATACATTCTACAGATCTATATCGCACGTGCACATCCACACTGTCACTCCTTCACATCCACCCTCTCTTTCTCTCTTTCTATACATCTTTTCGACAGTGCTGGACAAGACATGTCTCGCTCTCGGGCCAACCGTCGTCTAGTTCACATGAGGCCCACACTGCACTTGAAGGGAGGTGTTGGAGCTAATCCTGTCATTTGCCAATGTTCTGGAGGTAAGCCCTCCGGTCCAATCAATGAAGACTAACTCCGCAATGGATCGTGAAATAAACGGAGTCCTTCCCAAAACGTGGACATGCCCCCCTTCTTTGGGGCCAGAACACGGGACCGAGAAGCTACGCACGGTGGAGGCCATCGCTAGCAGGTTGGAGGCCATTACTACTAGTAGCAAGAAACTACTAGTAACAAGGTGCATCGCTACTAGGAGCAAGGATGCTACTAGGGGCTCCTGGCATCGCTACTAGGAGCAGGGACGCCACGATCGGGGCTCGGGGCCTTCCTACTTCCTACGAACGTAACAAGAACCTACGAACGTTCACATGAAGCTGTGTCCGATTCCAGGCTCCAAGCGATGGTCCAAGGAAGCCGAAAGACGACCGGTGACGGGTGGCGCATGAAAGTGTGTCAACGAAGAGTGGAAAGACCTGACATCTGTGGAAAGAGTGGGGGTTTGATTTGGATCCAGGGAGTACTAGTGAACTAGTGCCGCAGAAGCACCTTCACTGTGTTGCTGGTGATCGGAATTGGTGCGACTATGTCACTTCCAAATTGCAGTAGCGATCCTCCAATGTGGGATAGCGAGTGAACCAACTGCTTTAAAACGGAGCTTTGTTGGTTTCCACAAGCTCCGTTTTGGATCGCTGTCATCATTTTCAACAGAATGGTCAGCTGTCACCGGGTGACGGCTGCCCTGTCCGCGGTTGCCCCCCCAGGATGCGACCGCCCTTGACGATCAGCCCACGGCCGCTGTCGGGAGCTGAGCCAGCAAAGTCCACGGTGAACTTCGACGGCTGTGCCAGAATGGCTCACAGTTGTTGTATCATGTTGTATCTTGATCCGACGGGTTTTGCTATAACATTATAACAGCAAACGTATGCCGGGTTGCCAGTCAGTGGCGTGGCAGAGTTCACGGCCCCCGAATTCGCTTTCGTCATTTCTGCTCAGTTTTGGCCCGTTACACCGTTACACACAGTCTCTAGTACCGCTAGTAGCTTCACTGTGCAGGTGACCCGCAGCCCGATGTTCAACCCTTCTACGATCGCCCTCTTCGGAGCGGAGCGACCTCACGTCACGGTCGCAGGTCGATGAGGGCACCCACAGCATCCACCGGTGTGATCGCGAGTGGCCTCTCCCAAAGGTGCAACGTGACGTTGGTAAAGACACATGATTGGAAGGCAAATCTATCAGGAGATCACTTCATTGCAGCAGTTCCACATATTACTAGGAGCAAGGACGCTACTAGTAGCTCCTGGCCATTACTACTAGGAACAAGAAGCTACTAGGGGCTCCTGGCCATATCAAGAGCGAGTCAACAGCCCATGAGAGACTTCATTTGGAGAGAATACATGAGTGTGACATACTGCAGCATCTGGAAAACGCCAGTGACTGAATCGCCAGAGCTGGTCCTCCCTCTCGAGGCTGGCAGCCCTCCGCGCCCCGGCGCCGGTGTCCTCGCCTGTGAGGCCTGGAGCCCTTCCTGTGAGGCGGGCTTCCCGTGTCAAAAGCATAGGACGAACACGTTAGTCTGCTGGACCTTGAAGGGTTTTGCAGCTTCAAGCCAGTCTAGGGAAGTTCAAGGACACTTGTATCTATAAACATTCTGCGCGGATTCATACACAGCAGCCCACTTATTGCTTCTGCACTGATCAACGGGTATGTAAAGCAACAAGCAAAGCGGACACATTGTCGCTCCTATTGACTTTCACACTATGTACTTTAACAATCTTTAACTTACATACGAATTTTGTGCTCGCCGCTTGTGAGACTGCAGTGACTTGGTTTCAATGCCTTGGGCGAACGTCTTGGGGTTCGAGAGATCTGCAAACTCTTGGTGAAGGAAGCTACTAGTAGCTCCTGGCATTACTAGTAACAAGAAGCTACTAGTAACAAGGTGCATCGCTACTAGTGACAAGGATGCTACGAGTATTGATGAAACTGGTGAAGATTAGCTGTCTTGGGCCAAAATGCATGGGTGGGATGGTCGGTGGTGTTGGTAGGGTCGCTTGTTGGCCAGGCCCGGAGCGGTCAGACCGGTGTGGATCCCTAGAAAGGCTACTCAAACGAGGCAGCGTGAGGATGAAGAGATTGAGCACTGAGGACTACCACCAGTTGCGTGAAAGAAGAAAGACATAGAACTTTTGGAAGACGGGAGTGTCACCCAGACCAGGACCAGTTCTTTTCTGTTTTAGACATCCAGTTTGAGCAGATGTGAACTGAATCGGCTGTTAGCAACAATGCCACAAGAAACCACATATGTAGCGGTGGGCTTAAATGAGACATGTAATTAGTATTGCGGGCAGGTTCTCAACCTTTGGCTTGTTAAAATACAAACGGATACCTTCATGAAATGTAAGATGTTTTTCACATTTTTCACCATGTTCCCTTCTCCAGAGTTGGAATCCAGAACAGAGACAGGACAAGGCATGAGACCCTGACCGTCTGGCGGCATGTCGCCACAAGTTCGAGCGTTGATCATGTCCGAATGGATGGAACATGAGCAAGCCTGGAAGCTGACTCAAGCCCCCCTGGAGTCATTGACGGCACAAATTGGCGCAAAGCTTGGGAGAAACAAGTTAATCAAGCATTGCCCGACTTAAGGATGTAGCAGCTCGCAAAAGATGCATGCAGGAATGCTTGAAGTGAGCTTTTCTGAGCAGAAGACGGTCACAAAATCTAGTTGCAGGTGCAGCTGTCGGTTCGGCTGGCGAATTCAGCCCCAAGTGTTTTTTGCATTGACACGGTCCATTTTTTGTCCACGGATGTTGGACACGCTTTTGACAGAACTTTGCCGACCGTGCCGGGAAGTCTGAAGGGGTGTTTGGCCTCATTTCACCCAGTGCTCCAACCACCCACTGGCGTCCTCTTGCTCCTAGTAGCTTCTTGCTCCTAGTAGTACGGCCAGGAGCCCCTAGTAGCTTCTTGTTCCTAGTAGCGATGCCCTTTGCTCCTTCATTTCTCACGTTCTCTGAGGTGAGACCAGTGGGTGGAAGCAGCACAAGCTTGTCTGCCCCAGCTAGGGCTTGGGGGCCCAGGATTCCCACCCCAGCACACACGGATGGCATGGCGACCAACAGACTGACCAATCGAATGTTGCGGGATCTTGCGCAAGTCTAAGAGTCTAAGGTCCAGCATCGACTTCAGAGAGTCGGATGAATCATGATGCATCATGATGAATCCTCTTTGGAGTTGTCACCCGTCAACTCTGCATCAAAACTACTGAGGTTGCATCCAGCTCAGGCAAGTGAGGGGCACAGCCGGGCACCAGGTGAGGCGGAATATTGGAGCGCATCCCGAACGAAGTAGGGGAAGGTGTTCTTCTGGCTGTGGCCTATAGATGCCGGGTGCCCTCCTACCAGCTCCGCCCCGTTCGTCAAACTGAATGGGGCTCGGGCAATCATTTAGCCCAACGACATTTTGGGATATACTCACTCCCCAAAACGAACATGGACCCGGAGAATGCCAACCACTTTTTTTTTGGGGGGTCCATTTTAGTGTCCATGGTGAGCCTGGGTTAGAGGTGACGGTTCCCTATTCAATAGGTGCCAGCCCAGAAACATGGTGCAAACATTGATGTTGACAAACATTGGCCATGTTGAGATTCACCTATTCTGTTTGTGGTGAACATGCCCTCGTCGTGCCTCAAACTTGGAGGACTGTGAGACTGTGAGTGGAAGTGTAACTTGATTCATCTCTCCGTTGAAGGACGACGCTTTGGAGAAATATTCAGACAAACTCAGTGGACCAAACCTCTTCCTGTGGACCTTCCCAAATACATCCGTGCTGTGCAGGTGATGCAGCTGGTTTGCAGTTGATCAACCTCTTTGCATCTTGGCGGACGGATGATGGACATCCAGAGTTGGGATCAGGGGGACGAATCAACTGGTTGGAAGGAGTGACCTCCAACCTACTAGCAATGGCCTCCAACCTAGTAGCGATGGCCTCCAACCTGGAAGCGATGGCCTCTACCCTAGAAGCGATGGCCTCCAACCTAATAGCTATATTCAGCGTTCATCTTTGACTATTGATACAGTTTGTTTGGGCCTTTGGGCTGGCTTAACTCCGTGGTGCTTCATAACACTCGGTGGCCTCCAACGTACATCTCCAACGTACATCGCAGGACTTGCGATCGCGAGCTCTTTTTCTCATCAGGGCCACCTTTTGAAGACAGCGGTGACGTTACCAAGTGATGACTCCTAAGATGTTTCAAACCCTGAGGTGGCAAAGTGGAAACTGAATGCCAGCCGCACCAGATCCATCATGATGACCTTTTTGCCCACCAGGCACGGGATCTCATTGGGACTTCACTCTTTTCTGGAAACGGGCTGTCATGGGGTCATCCTTTAGGCGACCCACCACAGTCAACTCAGAAGGGCGCCATCCGAAGGCAAGCGGAGGGGCCATGTGCCTTTGTGCGAACGAAACGCCTTGCGCGTCGCGCGTTTTCGATGTAAACGGCGTTTCTGGGCGCTCAGGTCCGTCACGGAGGTAGGCAAAGTGGCAATGGCAAACCTTCCAAGTGCAGGAATAGAAAAGGAGAGCTGGAGCACTTGCTCCTAGTAGCTTATTGTTTCTAATAGCTTCTTGTTACTACTAGTAAACTAGTAAGGCCCTTGCTCCTAGTAGCGATTCCCTTTGCTCCTAGTAGCGTCCTTGCTCCTAGCGAGCACAGGAGCAAAACACTGTGTGCATTCCAAGACCGTTCCAGGAGCGCAAAGTGCAAAAGCTATGCGGATGGTCTAGTCATGTTTTGCAGTAGCAAGAAGCTACTAGGTGGAGGCCATCGCCATTAGGGTGGAGGCCATTACTACTAGTAGCAAGAAACTACTACTGTATATAGTAGCAAGAAACATGTTCTCCCGAAGGTCTCCAGGGAGTTCTGGCCCAATAGGGGCACGCCGAATCGACAAAGTCCGAGAGTGAAGCTCCAAGAATCAAGAAGAAAGCCAAGTGATTCAAAGGCAAAGAACGCACAGCAAAAGCTCCCTTCAAAGACATCAGTGGCTGCAGTCTGTCATCACGGCACTTGGGCTTGATGTTGGAATCTAGTTGGCTGAGACCAGAATCTATCATGAAGTCCGGTTCCAAAGGCGATACTTGGAGAATGCATGTGACTGCATATTTTTTCGAGCTTGGAACCTTGGACTCACAAGACTAGACGGTTTTTCTTACTGACCTGGTTACTACTATGGACCTTGTGATTTGTAAGGCCCAAAGTCTCAACCCCCATTGTTAGCCCAAGCCAGCAAGCAAATCTCATGCCTGGTTGTGGATTGGGTGCCTTTGGGTGGAATCCAGACCCTTGATCGCTTGCCTAAATAGCAACTCTGCCGGACTTTTGGCCTGGCAGGCGGCGTCACGTCATCGCCAACTTCAAACCAGAAGTGGTGTGCGTGCTTGGAACATCGGGACAAGTGACCAGCGATGCGGGGGGTGTGAATGGAGCCAGATCAAACGTTTTGACCTTTGGGTACTAATTACATCACATCTCTCATCTATCTATCCATCTATCTACAGAGGAAGGCTTTGCCTTTCTCGCCGTTGATGCCGACACTCGATCCACCCAACGGACTATGCACACAGAACATGGAGTTGATTGACTGCTTTTTAAATATATTATATTAAGAGACCTTTCTCTGGATCCCTGGACATGGGGAGTTTCCTCATGTTTCCTGTCTTCCTGATGTTACTGTCTTGGTGTGGAAGAGACTATAGTATACTATAGTAATCACCGATCCCTCATTAATCATCAGTCCAACAAATGATGCCCTATATCAGTCTAACCCGGAGGCTCAACCTGCAATTTCATGCAATTTCTGCCAGCTTTCCCAACAAGTCTGGAACACCTCTTTTCTAGGAACCAAATCATTAGTGCGTGCGCTTCTTCAGGGAAGCTCCCTCCCGCCCTGGTGCGGGGAGCTTCCTTGAAGAAATGTGAGCTATCCTGCGTCCAGTAGGTAGTAGCTTCCTATTGCTAGTAGCTTCTTGCTACTAGTAACAGTAACGATGCCATGAGCCCTAGTAGCGCCCTTGCTCCTAGTAGTAAGGCCAGGAGCCCCTAGTGGCGCCCTTGCTCCTAGT